GAAGGCCTGGGAGCCGAACCCCCCCCCCCCGGTGACTCTGAGGTGGGTGGGCCAGGGCCCCCCCGGAAGGATCGGGGAGGCATTTAAATGCCTCCCCATGCCTTCCCTGGCCAGTCCAAGGGCCGGCTTGCCCGGGCTCCCCACAGCCATGGGGCACCCGGGCAAGCCAAGGGAAGGCATGGGTTGTGGCCTAGTATGCTAATGAGCTGACTATAAGGGGTGTGACCTAATATGCTAATATGTTTCTGCTGTTGGGTGTGGCCTATTATGCTAATGAGTTCCTGCTGGGCTTTTTCTACAAAAAAAGCCCTGGTTATGACACATTAACAGTGCCATCGTAAACTGAGTCACACCTGATTTATGGCGACCCCGGACAGTTTTCAAGGCAAGAGACATTCAGACGTGGTTTGCCGTTGCCTGCATCCACGTCATGACCCTGGTATTCTCAGCAGGTCTCCCCTCCAAATACTAACCAGGGCTGACCCTGCTTAGCTTCTGAGATCTGACGGGATCGGGCTAGCCTAGGCTACCTAGGTCAGGGCAAACTGAATCACAGCCTTCTAAGCCTACTGACTAAAGGGTGTACCTCTGCTTCGGATTGCATTGCAAGCCATCATCCATGCTGTCACCCCATATGATATGTTAAGCGACTCTCCAGTATGCATGGGAGTCAGGCAGGACTTGGCAGAAAAGGGATTACAAAAGGAATCTCTTTGAGTAGGGAAGGGCAATATTATGCTCCATCAGTGCACTTTCCCCATCTGACGTCCCTTTGGGCCAGCACTTGCCATTGCAATCCTCGTTTTGTACGATATGCCAAAGAGCTGTAAAGTCTCAAGAGTCATGATGGCCCAGCAGAGCTCCAAGCCAGATGTGCTCAGAGCTTAAACCACAGGAAACCATGACCTGGGATGCAGCCCACTATTTTTAACCTTATGCGGTGGCTCAAGTGGTTAAGACGCTGAACTGCAGGCTGTGGAAGGTCAGTAGTTCAGCGGTTCAAGACCCGAGTTGCCACATGACGGAGTGAGCTCCTGTCTCTAGTTCCAGCTCCTGCCAACCTAGCAGTTCGAAAGCAAGAAATTGCAAGTAGATAAATAGGGACCACTTCGGTGGGAAGGTAACAGTGTTCCGTGCGCCTTGGTGTTTAGTCATGCCGGCCACATGACCACGGAAACGTCTTCGGACAGCGCTGGCTCTTCGGCTTTGAAACGGAGATGAGCACCACAACCCTAGAGTCGGATTCGACTGGCTTTCGAGCAAGGGAACCTTTACCTTTATATCTTGATTCACAACAGCCAGGCCCAACTGCGCCTCCTCGCAGCAGGTGTAAAAACATTAACAACATGCATGCGTTTCCCTTTTCAGAAGGTATGAAACGCAGGTCTGTAAATGTGTACTTTTTCAAACTGTAACATGGGAAGCAGTCCCAAACAAATACGTTTAATTAGTTTATGCCAGAGCGGTCAACGGAGTAAGACCAATAAACAAGCAAGAATGGTTTCTGTTTGCACTAAATCACTCTTACATAGAGAATAATAATGTCAAAACTCTATGATCAGAGATTACAAGAAGTGGGGACCCACAACACTTGCGGGGGGAGGAAGGAGCTCCACATGGAGGAGGAGGAAGCAACCACAGGTGAGCCTTCTCCCCCGCTCCCCCCCCCCATGCACACCAATGGCAAGGCCCAGGCCCGCCAATCCTTCTTCCCCCAACCCCCCACACCGATGGCGAGGCCCACGCAGCTCCCAGCTGTCAGACCCGTCAATCTTTCTCCTCCGCCTTCCCTGCCCCAGCGGCGAGCCATACAGGCCCGCCGAGCCTCCCCCCCGGCTCCAGCAACATGGCCTGAGCAGCTCCCAGCCGCCAGGCCCACTAGTCTCCTCCCCCCCTGGCTCCAGCAGTGTGGCCTGAGCGACTCCCAGCTGCCGGGCCCGCCGAGTCTCCCCCACAACGGCCAGAGCGTTCTCTGCGCATGTGCAGGGAACGCTCTTTTACTTTTGGGGGGATTTAAGTATCCCCCATATATTTTTTCAACTTTTTAGATTTTTCTGCACATCCGGAGACTGCTCCAAGTGTGTAGGCAAATCTCCCTGCCCCCCAAGTGCCCCCGATGTGCGGATTTAGATATCCGCACAGAGGGGGCAACATGGCTATTAGATATATAGATGCTTCAAATAAGCAGCAGAAGCTAATTAGTAAAACAGATGCGTCACACATTGCTGAACAGTTACCTACTTAGTCTTGGAGTAACGAGGCAAAATGCTTACCTAACAAAATTACATTACTTGCTTCCAGGGCTATTTTTGGGCAGGAACACACAGGAACGGAGTTCCGGCTGGCTTCAGAGTTGGCCACGCCCACTACAGCCAAAACCTCTGCGTGCCTGGCTACAGAGGGAAGGCCTGGAGAGTGACACACATAACCCCGGTGACTCTGAGACAGGCAGGCCAGGGGTCCCCTGGGAGGATCGGGGAGGCATTTAAATGCCTCCCCGTGCCCTCCCTGGTCTGTCCAAGGGCCAGCTTGTCTGGGCTCCTCGCAGCTTTGGGGCGCCCGGGCAAGCCAAGGGAAGGTGTGGGGTGTGGCCCAATATGCTAATGAGCTGTGCTGTTGGGGGTGTGGCCTTTAATGCTAATGAGTTCCTGCTGGGCTTTTTCTACAAAAAAAGCCCTGAATTTGCTTCTATTTTTAGCAAGTCTCTTCCAAGCAAAGTATATTTAGAACTTCCATATGATCTCCTTGTTTCAAGATTTCACACACACCAGCCACAGCACTGGATGTGCTGGAAACGAAAAGGGAAATAGGATGTGTATGTCCGCAACAGCGCTTTTACATTCTTTATCTGCAAGGAGATGCCTGTATCAGTAGCTTGACAAAGAACACAAGACAGTTCTAGTAAAGACATGATGGAGAACCAGGGGAACAAGACGTGAGAAATGTTTCCTGTTCTGCTTGCCTCTCCATCACGGCCACCCGGCACTGCCCATAAGAAAACCCCACTGATGATGGGGGTGGAAAGTGCCATCAAGTGGCAGCCAACTTATGGTGACCCCACAGGGTTTTTAAGGCAAGAGGTGAGCAGAGATGGTTTGCCATGGCCTGCCCTCGTGTAGCAACCCAGGACTTCTTCGGTGGTGTGACGTCCCATCCAAGTATTAAGCAGGGCCAACCCTGCTTAGCTTCCAAGTTCTGAAGAGATCAGCCAGTCTTGGCCATCCAGACCATAATACATATATTTAAATAAAAAGGTAGTTTTATTATTGTTGTTGTTGTTCAGTCGCACAGTCGAGTCCGACTCTTTGCGACCCCATGGCCTAGCTCCCGCCAGGCCTTCCGGTCTTCCGCCGTCCTCTGAAGTTTGCTCAACTTCATGTTCGTTGCATCGATGACACTGTCTAACCATCTCATCCTTTGCCGTCCCCGTCTTCTTTGACCTTCAGTCTTTCCCAGCATCAGGGTCTTCTCCAGTGAGGGCTCCCTTCTCATTTGGTGGCCAAAGTATTTGAGCTTCAGTTTCATTATCTGGCCTTCCAGGGAACAGTCAGGGTTGATTTCTTTGAGGATTGACTGATTTGTTCTTCTTGCAGTCCAAGGGACTCTCAAGAGTCTCCTCCAGCACCATAGTTCAAAAGAATCTATTCTTCGGCGCTCGGCCTTCCTTATAGTCCAACTCTCGCAGCCATACATGACTACCGGGAATACCATTGCTTTGACCATGCGGACTTTTGTTGGCAGGGAGATGTCTCTACTTTTTATCATGCTGTTTAGGTTTGCCATCGCTTTCCTCCCAAGGAGCAGGCATTTATTTTATTTATTTTATTTAAATAAAAAGGTTGTTTTATAGTGTATCTCAAATCATTCCATGCTCAGAAAGCAAAACAGAAAATGAGTATACCACAAGCAACTTACCAAAATCCTATGAAGCAGAATAAGAATTAAACTGAAAACATAACTGAAAACATAACTAAACAAGAAATGCTCCCAGATATTAGAACGCTTGAGAAAAATGGTGTAATTATGCTGACTAGAGATGCTGCTGATTCATTAACTAGATATAAGTGCAGAAAAGGCATAATGAAAATTTGTTTCTAATCAATTAACGGTGGTACTATTTTTTAAATTTGAAAAAGCAAAAGAAAGTAATGGTAGGGAAGCAGTTATTTCAACTTGAACAACGAGAGAGCAAATAATAGATGTGTTCGATTCTTTATTAAAATACGTTGCAAACACAGTTGTTGTTTCTTTCGCAATGCTGTACCTCTTCTTTTAAGCAGGAAATGTCTGCTGCAACCAAGTCCACTCAAAAGTGAGTTTTCAGGCCAAACAGAAAAGAATGTAGCTGTCTGAGGTCATTCCCCATGGAAGCTTGAAGAGTTTGAATCATAGTAAAAGCAAAGGAGAAGAAGCTGCACATTGTTATCTGCACTGGGCCGTAACATATCAGACTGCACTGCAGTTTGTTGTTGTTCAGTCGCACAGTCGAGTCCGACTCTTCGCGACCCCATGGACCAAGTCATGCCAGGCCCTTCTGTCTTCTGCTGTCCTCTGAAGTTCACTCAATTTCATGTTCGTTGCATCGATGACACTGTCCGACCATCTCATCCTTTGTCGTCCCCGTCTTCTTTGACCTTCAGGCTTTCCCAGCATCAGGGTCTTCTCCAGTGAGTGCCCCCTTCTCATTGGGTGGCCAAAGTATTTGAGCTTCAGTTTCATTATCTGGCCTTCCAGGGAACAGTCAGGGTGACTAAATGTTTGACTACTCTCTCATATAAACTACTCCCTATACGTACAGGGAGCTGCGGTGGCTCAAGTGGTTAAGACGCTGAACTGCGGGCTGTGGAAGGTCGATAGTTCAGCAGTTCGAGGCCCGAGTGTGCCGCATGACGGAGTGAGCTCCCGTCTCTGGCCCCAGCTCCTGCCAACCTAGCAGTTTGAAAGCAAGAAATTGCAAGTAGATAAATAGGTACCACTTTGGTGGGAAGGTAACAGCGTTCTGTGCGCCTAGGTGTTTAGTCATGCCGGCCACATGACCACGGAAACGTCTTCGGACAGCGCTGGCTCTTCGGCTTTGAAACGGAGATGAGCACCGCAACCCTAGAGTCGGATTCAACTGGCTTTCGAGCAAGGGAACCTTTACCTTTATTTTATATGTATAAAAGTAGCATGTAAAGGATAAGGTTCTACATTAACCCTTTTCCTACAACTGTTTGTACAAGCAGTTTTGTACAATGTGAGCAAAATATTCAAAGATTCTATCTTGTAAACCTTCCCACTAGGTGGCGGGGGGGGCTTCTGCTATTCCTTTTAACTCTCAGAGAAGGCTGATTAGGGAGGAGATATCCCCGTGGTCTTGTGCCATACATTAACAAGAAAATCCCTTTACTACACAAGTGATTGCTGCTTTAATAAAGATGCCAACTCTATCGGGCTTCATCTCTACCACAGTTCTCACTAAAATCTCACTTTAATCAAGAAATGACTTCCATCCTTCACTGACATACAATCTCAGGGAAGAAGCCATTGTGCTGAAATCACCAAACTTTGTTTAAAACAAAAATAGGAGTATTTTTCATTTCCACACAGAGAGGGAAACCCCCCCCCACACACACACATACAGTGTTCCCTCTAAACTGAGCTGGTGTGAGCCAGCTCACAGTTCTTTAGCCTCCGGCTCACACAGTTTTGTCTCAGCTCAGGAATGAGGGCTCCAGAGCAAACTAGTTCATGCAGGAGCCAAATCGCTCGCTCACAACTTTAATGCCAGCAGCTCACAAAGTAGAATGTTTGCCTACAAGACTCCACAGCTTAGAGGGAGCATTGCACATAATACTGTGTTACCAATGCAGCCTGTTGTCTAGCTATCCCATTACAGCAGAAGTGAGCAAATTCTGGTGCCCTTCGGGCTTTCGTCAGCTGTTAATTAGTGACTAAGTAAATAATGCATGCTGCAACACAAAAAATGCATTATCGCAAGGGAATTCTGATTTTTTTTCCTCTTTCAAGAGGTTAAAACACGTTTTACAAAAACATCATTCAAATATTAACAGAAATATGAGAGGTCATGTACTTTCACTGAACATTCATTTTTCGAACAGACATTCAAGTGGCAAAGAGGAAGGATGGATGAAGGAGGTGCTTTTACTTAGGGGTAGACCTGACGGCATGCGCAGAGCATCTGAATAATAATGAGTTCAGGATGCTGTATAGGAGCTATATACAGTGGCTTTATTTACAGTTATATACATTAGTCCATGCCACCATGCGGTATCCCAGATTCACAGAACTGACCCACAAGGTGCTTCGCAGTACACTCTCCACAGGTGTGGAACACTTGCTATAGGACTACATTCCTTATATACAATACTAGCACCAATCAGAGTCATTTTGCCAACTCATGGTGACAGTTAATTGAGCTGATGCAACCTAGTGCAATCTGCATCTGGTGACCCTGTCACATGACAGTCTTGCCTGTCACCTAGATCAGTTTAATCTTACACATGCATCACTGGCTGTCATCTTGCATACATATAATACAATGTGCCAACAAGACCTCGGATTCAATCTGTGGCATTACTACTTACAAAGTATCAGATAGCACACCTGGAAGAGAGCTTTTTGAGACACTGACATCCAGAGTATACAATTTCAGACAAGAAGAAACGTCATTAGCATAAAAAACACGCTCATTTATATCTGAAATACCTGACTCAAATTCTAAAAGCCCCTTTTTAGATATCTGTCTTCCTGATTCAGGAAAGTTAATTATTGTAAAAGAAAAATCCTTTTGATACTAAAATAAGAACAAATCTGATGTCCAATATTTTTCTTATGTTACAAATTTAACTAAGAAACCAAAGTCAAAAATTTAATGTAAAGTTCCTTTTTGAAGTTAGTATAAATATAGGAATTTTATATTATGCTCCTATATTACACCTTTTGGCTTTGCCTTGAGTTTCTTCTCAGGTGTTTGAGTATTTGGCATGCCCCCTCGTCCTCAGCATCTTTCACATTGCCTTAAAAATCCACTTGTATTACCTGATGTTACCACGTTTTTTTTCTTGTGTTCAGACAATTTCGTAAACATCCCAGCACCCTCTCATACCGTCCCAGTTTTTCTGCCGTTCCTAATAAAACTGGTTTCTCCCGCACTTTTTTTCAAAGTGAAATGTATTTGCAACAAAGCCTCTGTTCTGTAATCTGAACTAAGTTTTTTTGCATTGGCAACTTCCGGCACAACACACCAGCCTGCCAAAATCCATCCGGAAAGGGCAGGATGCTGTGGGTGTCTGAAGGTGCCTGCATTGGGGCATCTTCGTCTTTGCTCTGCTTTGTGAGCGTGTGTGTGCATGTGTGTGCATGTGTGTGCATGTGTGTGCATGCCTCTCTCTCTCTCTCTCTCTCTCTTCATCTGGCCTCGTCTCCTCTCTGCCTCTCTCTCTACCGATAAACTGGGAATCACATCCTTCTCTTCAATACCAAAGCCAAGGGTACAAATAAATTATATTTCGTGCTTCAGCTACTGTGCTTTACACAAGAGAGAATGGGGCTACTCATGTAAAGAAGGCAAGGGAACTAGGCTGCTGAAATGCTCAAACACCTCAATGTCCGTGCAAAAAAATGCAACACCCTCCCCCCCAACGTGCAACAGAAGGAACTCCTGTGGGTAAGTCTGCACGGATCCCACTGAGAACGTGCTCATCAAAAGTGGCACATCATGCACGGAAGGTGGCAGCAGTCTGAAAAACACCCTCCTCCTTTGGCAAACAGAGAAGTGCTGGTCACATTTGTGTACAGAAGAGACTGAAAGGAGCCGGGGATGCTCCAATGTTGTGTCAGTAATTCAGCTACAATTCTATCAGAAAGGCCACAGTAGTGCAACACTGATCAACAAGGCTCGTTTTTACTTCACTGTTCTCTTTACAGATGCATTAAAAAGGGTATTTACTCACCAGCTTACAAGGAGAAAGATACTCATCCACTAGTAAGTCTCCATCATCTCTAACTGATGGACTGGGATTCAAGAGTCCTTGCAAGCCCAAGTCTGTCACACGAACTGTGGCAGAGCCTGGTCTCGGAACTCGGTCTAGTTTCCAGGTTAGTTCCATCTCCGAATTCTCTAAGTATAAAACATGAACAAAAACTAGTTATTTGATCGCAGCATTTACTTCACACATTCTTAAGCTAATGTTGAAGTATCCAGGTTTCTGATAACAATCCTGCAATGATACTGAAATCAGATAGAAATGTTAATATAAAATTAAAATATAATGCAATACTCAAATGTTTACCATCAATATTTTACTTCTGGCATCTAATAATTTGGTAGGATCACCTTCATGAATGGGTATTTAAAATACTAACAGACTTGGGCCCTGGTCACACGGAGCATTAGCCACGCTAGAGGGACGGAAGATAGGCGGATTTTCCAGGCGCGATCTCACCACCACAACTGGGAAACGTAGAGCTCCCGCAGCTCACCCGAGGCTTCCCGCCGAAGACGCACAGTAAAAAACTAGTACCTTGGAGGTACTAGTTTCCGGAAACCGCGGGGCAAGGGCGGGCGTCTGATCGCATTTCCGGTGGCATCCGGCGCCCGCCCATGCCCCATTGCGAAAAGGGTTTTTTTTCCCGGAAGTCTGCAGGGATGCGCACAGGCACCCAACGGGGCATGCGCATACTTCAGGTTAAAAACAAAAACACAACCCCGCTTGCCGTGCCGCTTCTTTGGCGCGGTGAGTGATCAGCACCTCCCCCCTAACCACAGGACCTCGACGGGACCGCGAGGGGACGCCTGATCGCATAATCGCACATTATTTCGCTGCGGGGCAAACAGCCATGCCTCCCCCCCCCCCATGATATCCGGCCCGTGTGACCGGGGCCCATATTTGGTTTCATTAAACTGTCTACTAAAGCTATCTATTTATGTTTAAGATACACTATTAATTTTATTTTCATTTCCATTGGTTTCAGTGTTTTCCACCTGCAACTTTCCCCCCTCCATTTTGAGACAGGGTACTCCTCACACAAGAGATCTTCCACACTTTACACAGATGGAAGAAAGCACCTAACACAGAGAAACTTCTTACTAATAAAATAGTTACAGAGAGGTATTTTGTAATCCAAGAAAGCAACTAATGGGGACAGATAATGTACAATAACTACATGTACCCTTGTGCATTTACATGTGTCCATTTGTTCACATATAAAGAAAGTAAGGAGGTCATTCTGCCCAATCTTTTACTTAGATTGGAAGACTTTACTATTATATCATGGCAAATGCAACACTGCAGACAGCATGAGCTGACATATTGGACTGGATCTAAAGAACCATAAGAAAAGGTGGCCTTTAGTGCTGTTAACCAAATACTTATGCAACAGCTTGCATAGGGTTACCATATTTAGAAAAGCAAAAAAGAAGACATATTTCCCAACTGACTACTTCAAATATGTGACCACTATGACAAATCTCATTTTAAATACCCCTACTATTTAAGCTGTGATAACTGCTACTAACTAGGAATATTCCTAACCTTCCAAACCAAAAAGAGGACATTATAATAGATTTTTAAAAACATCCCAAAAGAGGACGGACACAAAATAAAGAGGACATGTCCTCTAAAAAGAATATACCTCTTAAACGTAAGGTTGCATGAAAGTTCACAAGTAAGTTTATAGCAGTAGCTTCCTATAAAAACTAGATTTATAGCAGTTTACTTGCATCTGCAGAAAGCCCATGCACAACAGAACACTAATTAGGGATATATATGTAGATTAACATTAAGCATATTTATAATCAAAAGTCTGTCAGGAGGGTCCTCCCTCTCTCGACCTCCTGTCTCGCCACCCCACCGCCAACCAGACAGCTAGCGGTTCTGTGTCGATTATCGAGAGCTTAACAAAGTCTCAAAATTCGTCACCTATCCTATGCCTCAGCCCGACCTCTTACTGGACCATCTGGGAGCTGCCAAGGTGCTCTCAGCCCTCGACCTAAGGGGTACTGGCAGGTACCTGTCCGGGAGTCGGAATGAGAGAAAACGGCTTTTGCTACTCCTTCAGGCTTGTACCAGTTTGTCCGCATGCCCTTTGGACTTCATGGGGCAGCAGCCACGTTTCGACGCCTCGTAGACATAGTCTTGGCGGGATATCGCGACTTCGTCGCCACGTACATAGACAACATTATTATACTTAGCCCTGATTGGGACACCCATGTATGCCATCTGACAGAGGCCTTGCGAGACATAAAAGCTGCCGGCCTCACAGCCAACCCCAGCAAGAGTCATATAGGGTTGCAAGAGCTAAAATACCTGGGTTTCATTGTAGGGCAAGGACGGGTATGGCCAATGCCCCAGAAAGTTCTCCAGATCCGCGATTACCCGAGGCCCCAGACTAAGAAAAAACTACAACGGTTCTTGGGTCTCCTTGGGTATTACAGTCGCTTCCTACCACAATATGCCACCTGTGCCGCACCCCTAACGAATCTCTTCCGGAAGAACCACCCCAATCAGTTCTCCTGGGGACCCACAGAACTCCAAGCGTTCTCGAACCTCTGGGAAGCCCTGGATCACACTTCCTCCTTGTATAATCCGGACTTCACTCAGCCATTCCTGGTCCATACAGACGCGTCCAACACGGGGATCGGTGCGGTCCTGTCCCAAATGTGAGAAGGGCAGGAGGACCCAATCTTGTTTCTTAGCCACAAACGACAAGATGCGGAGCACAACTATTCCACGGTGGAGCGAGAAGCCCTGGCCATCAAATGGGTCATAGGCGCTTTGATGTTTTACTTAAACAATAACCCTTTCATCCTCGTGACGGACCACACATCCCTTCAGTGGACGTATAGGATCAAAGACAACAATGTGAGGGTGCGCCAGTGGTATTTGTCCCTTCTCCCTTATAGGTTCACCATCCAATACTGGGCTGGCCAACACGATCAAAACGCTGTCTCTCCCACCTCTTTGAGGAACCCCAAGACATCACGGGGCTAAGGGGTGTGTGTGTCAGGAGGGTCCCCCCTCCTCGACCTCCTGCCTTGCCACCCCACCGCCAACCAGACAGCTGGCCCCACCGACGGAGGAGAGGACCAGCTACATGCAGACCCTCCAGAGGTCCAGGGACGAGCCCAGAGCCAATGTCGTAGTGGGGCCCCACCGGGTTCCCCTTGTTTCAACAGCTATCACCCGGACAGACACACCGAGGTTCAAAGAAGGGCCAGGAGTACTTCCCCCTTGTCCTGCACAAGGCACTCCCGCGACAAAAGGAGGGTGTGGAGGGGGAGGAGCAGCGGTGGCCCGATCGGGAGGAAGAAGAGTAGATCTCCTCGTGAGGAAGAGCCGGGCTGACTGGCACAATGGCCAGCTTGCTGTAGGGCGGGGGGTCAAAGAGAGGAATAAAGAGGCAATAGGGAGGCATGCTGGGGAGGATGTGACCTGGACTTATGCTGACCGGGAGTCCGCGTGTGAAGGACAACAAAGGAAAGACTCAGAGAAAGTATGCCCGGAGGGGCGAAAGCTGGGCGAGGACTTAAAGCCCGTGGTGTGAACACTGGATCCCAGAATAAGCCCAGGTAGGGCGGTCTTGGCGTGCTGTAACGGCCGGCCAGCCCAAGAGTCTGTGGTTGCCTCTGCCCTCGCGTCTCTCATTCTCTCGGCAACCGCCCGCCCACGCTGGACTTGACCCCGTTGTGACGGACGCGGACGTGACAAAGTCCCACTATGTTCAATGACTTTTACTCCTTATTAAATGTCCTTTAGGACTGCAGCCATTTCATGCAATTGCTCTAACTCAAGGCACAGAACAACCGTTCTATGAACAGGAAACACTGTCCACATGTGGGAGGTCCCCTTCTGTTCCAGCTCAAGGCTCCAAAGAGTTAATCAACACATGTAAAATAAATATCTCACCTCCTCAAAACATTGCTGTTGCATTTCAAAATGTCCTCTCGTCTCTGAAACATGTGTTGAAACAGAACTTACTTATGGTTTGACAAGATCAATTTGCGGTTTAATATCCGAAGTGATGCTCTTGGTTTTATACTTCCCAATATTGATCTGGTACTTGGAATTCATATAGAATGAATTAGCAAGGAGAACAATTTCCCCCCAGCCACATCTGTGTATCTATAAGAGTGAAGAGCTTCCAAAGCTAAACATGCAATAATAAAATTAGCAATGAACATTTAAAAGAGGACCCAAAAATATTGTATTATAAAACAGCTGAACACAGGACCACATCCATGTGACGTTTATTTAAAGATTACTTTCTCCTTTTCAGTATAACTACATTGATCCCACGCAGGGATGGAAAGAATCTGCATAATCAAGCAAGCTTCTTGGTGTCAAGAGGGGTCTTTCTATTTTAAGTGTTGCAACATAAGAGTAAAGTAAAGGTAAAGGTTCCCTTGCTCGAAAGCCAGTCGAATCCGACTCTAGGGTTGCGGTGCTCATCTCCGTTTCAAAGCCGAAGAGCCAGCACTGTCCGAAGACGTTTCCGTGGTCATGTGGCCGGCATGACTAAACACCAAGGCGCACGGAACACTGTGACCTTCCCACCGAAGTGGTACCTATTTATCTACTTGCAATTTCTTGCTTTCGAACTGCTAGGTTGGCAGGAGCTGGAACTAGAGACGGGTGCTCACTCCGTCTTGCGGCACCTGGGTCTCGAACTGCTGAACGACCAACCTTCCACAGCCTGCAGTTCAGCGTCTTAACCACTTGAGCCACCGCAGCTCCTAGCATAAAATTAGCACCCTCTAAAATGTAAAAAACTGCTCCTAATGTACTGTGATAACTCTTTCTTGTACCATTACTAAGAATTATGAAGTGGCACAGAAAAGGTACTTGATGTTAAGGCTCAGTAAACGGGTCAGGTGTCAAGGATTTAACAGATTGAATCCAAAGTTGCTTTCAACTGGCAGAAAAGCACTGCCCCTCCCGAAGGAGGTAGGGATAATTTTGGCCAGTTCTCCCCTCCCATTACAGATACCCACACGTGCATCCCGTGCTGTTCCTAGAGTGGAATTTCTGACTGCCAAGGGAAGAACAGCTCCGCTCCATGATTGGTTTGTGGCTTGCATTACTTTGGATCCAAATGGAGCTGTTTTGATGGCATTTGTTGTTCAGTCGCACAGTCGAGTCCGACTCTTTGCGACCCCATGGACCAGATCCCGCCAGGCCCTCCTGTCTCCCGCCGTCCTCTGAAGTTGGCTCAACTTCATGTTCGTTGCATCGATGACACTGTCTGACCATCTCATCCTTTGCTGTCCCCGTCTTCTTTGACCTTCAATCTTTCCCAGCATCAGGGTCTTCCCCAGTGAGTGCTCCCTTCTCATTGGGTGGCCAAAGTATTTGAGCTTCAGTTTCATTATCTGGCCTTCCGGGGAACAGTCAGGGTTGATTTCTTTTAGGATTGACTGATTTGATCTTCTTGCAGTCCGAAGGACTCTCAAGAGTCTTCTCCAGCACCATCGTTCAAAAGAATCTATTCTTCGGCGCCCGGCCTTCCTTATAGTCCAACTCTCGCAGCCATACATGACTACTGGGAATACCATTGCTTTGACCATGCAGACTTTTGTTGGCAGGGTGATGTCTCTACTTTTTATCATGCTGTTTAGGTTCGCCATCGCTTTCCTCCCAAGGAGCAGGTGTCTTTTAATTTCATGGCTGCAGTCACAGTCTGCTGGGATCCCAGGAACGTGAAGTCTGTCACTACTTCCACGACTTCCCCTTCTATTTGCCAAGGAGTTTAAAATAAACTTTATAAAGGTACAATCAATTTCAACTAATAGTATTTTTGAACTGCTCCTACGTCTGTCACAGTAAGTGAAGTGCTGGACCCTGTGAGGAGTACTGCATTTGTCCACCATTATATGTGAGGAATTAAAACAGTGAAGACATAACACTTGTAAATCACTGGAACTGGTTTAGAAGCATCCTCACCATGTTTCAGTGCAGACATGCTTCTTTTCTCCATGGCTAAGCATCAGAAAAAATGGTTCTGCACCTAAAGCTAACTATGCAGGGTACCAACTGGCTAGCATCCAAGGGAACGGGCCATTGGATACTTACCGTGAAGGGCCCTTCTCCTCTGAGATGAAGGAGGACATCTTGCTGGGTGTCTCCCACCCTATCCTTAGGGAGGCAGGAACCAAACTTCACTTCCTGTACCTTCTCCTGCCTAATCTTTAAATAAATACTGCATTTTTTTTTTCAAAATATGGTTTCTTTAATTAAACAATAAGACAATGGACAAATATATTAAGAACAAACATACATCCTCAGCCGTCAAATGGGTGTGGGGGGGGTTCCTTTTAAAAAGCCAGACAGCCTGCCTGAAACATGGCGGGAAAGGCAGCAACACTGGTAGCTGACTTAGCCTTTGACTGCACGGAATGAGCATTCGTCATGAAAACTGCAGAGCTGGGGAAGAGGGGATCACACGGTGAGTAAAGAATCGGTTAGTATTTCTCTAAATTAGTATGTCACTGTCATAAGGAAGAAGAAAAGACTTGTGGAGTGAAGACCTGAAGAAAGATGATATTTGTCTGCAATGAAGATGGTAGAATTAAGAGAAAGATAGAAAACGTATAAAGGGATTCCTGAAAACAAATTTGAGAAAATTACCCTAAAAGTCACAAAATGTATGGAATACCAAGATATTTTACCTTACAGGTAAGTCTCAATATTTCACAAGGTGCAGATTCTTGTTTTTGTCTTTGTTTTTAAATAGAGTTCAAGGCTAAAGAAATATCAATATGTTCAGTTCAAAGATATTTTCCATTGCCTTTTTTATTTGTATGAGCCTTGATATACCAACAGTCTCTCTGTGGGAGACAAAATGAACTGTAATGGAATTCACAAAGTTGTCTATTAAAATTTTTCAGAGCACCACAGATGACCAACACAGATTTAGACCTGAGTTGCACTTGTTCTAAATCCTCTTATTCCAGAAAAACCCTGAGCTGTTTTAAGCAAGGCATTCAACCATTCAATAATATAACTCCCATTCTGTCTCATGAACACATTTTATCTATTTTGCTATACGTTTTATAGTAGCTTTATACTAGAAATCAAAATTCTCTATACGCTATAGACAAAGCATCATTTTGAAAGTCCAGTGTTCTCCTCTTCGTCTATGGATTTTTACTGTATTCCAAGAGTATATAATAATTCATTTTCATACATGCAAGCAACAGCCCAAGTGATACTACAATCACTAAATGAATAAAGAAGTCTGTACAGATGAAATCATGAATTGTTTGGTTTTGAAAGACCTGAGGGAGTCATGAATGCCAATTCAGGTGTAATTTTCTGAAAGTGCCCTGAAGATAACCTCTTCTGGGGGGGGGGGGGGGGGAATTAGGCAGCTGGGATTTACTATGATGTTAACAGGAAACTACCATTACATCAATCACTTCTTAACACTAAGAACATTAATGGTAAGAACATTTATGTATTATGCTGCACATCTCTTCCTTGTTTTACCAGACCTTGTTTTTTTTTAAATGCTGAGAAAAATTAAGAGAGGTAGACTCCATTATGAATGTCAGTGTTCAAACAAACTGTTTCACTATTCTTCAAGAGATACTTCTTACCTGTTTGTCCATGATAAGTACAAATATCCTCCAGATGACCAGAAAATCCTCAGCTACAAAGAGAGTACAAGAGACATATGCCCTCAACCTAGGAAGAAGAAAGAGACCAGATGCCGTTTGTATTGTGACCTCCAAAAACAATACAATGCCCCTTACTGGTAGATGTCTCCCCCAGTCTTTTTCGCATTTTCAAGAGGAGAGGATTGCCAGGGTAGAAGAGAATGATTAATAGTAACTTTATCTCCTAGTTCATTTCCTTTTTTATTTGCTAGGAGGTAGGAATACTGGTAGACTGCATGCATTAGATACGTCCATGGGCAATGCTCCCTCTAAGCTGTGGAGTCTTGTAAGCAAAAATTCTACTTCATGAGCTAATGACATTAAAGTTGTGAGCAAGCGATTTGGCTACTGCATAAATTAGCTTGCTCTGGACTCCTTCCTGAGCTAAGACAAAAATGTGTGAGCCGGAGGCTAAAAAACTGCTCACACTTACTCAACTTAGAGGGAACACTGCCCATGGGCATGTTCTCTCATATGTTTCTCCCTTCAGGATGAATACATCAAGGGAAAAACCAGGAAGAGTAAACCTCCCTTCCCTAATCCAAATTTCCCACCCTACAGTGCAATTTATACTTTAGAAGAGGATGAAAACCTGTAAGAGGTAGTGATATCATAGAAAATTCCACTACAATGTTCAAACTAAGCCTAGAAATATGACACACTTGAAAATGAAGCACCTTACACAGTAGTTTAGATCAGGCAGAACCTAGAATACAGAACACACAGAAGGAATTGCAGCCTGAGTGAAGTATTAGGATAGTGTTAGTACAGAATAAAATTTAGCTCTGTTGGTTTACATTGGCCTGACGCAGAAACAAAAGTCCACTAATCTGATGACAAATATGTATACTTTATCAATAATATGTTTGTTTATAAAATAGTATATTGAAAGCCACCACATTCTTTTTATAGGTCTTAAAATGTCACTTGTCAAAGCAATATGTGTGAATATGGCCAGGTCTTTCCATAGGTTGACAGAGAAGTAGCTGCCACCTTCTCACATATTCGTGAAGCACTTCTCCAAAGAAAACGGTTTCAGACTTGGGAAAGGTACAATAACCAAAATTGGTTCACCTATTTGACAGCAAATGGCAGCGCCCTATGCTAAACAAAAATCGAGAAAGCAATGAAAGAGAACTAACTAACAGGACTTGACTTTAGTAATCTGTAGAACTCCAGGCACAATAGCTATTCATGCTGTGTAGCCTGGACAAACTGCTAAGAATTCCTGGTTAGAAAACAAGGAACAATCATACACCATTAACTGACAGAAGAAGATATGAAACTTTTGGCAGAGAATGCCAGGTATACGCCAGAAATGAGGAGACCACAATGATATTATAGCTAGGAACTTCTCTGGCTGAGTTCAGACTGGCAGTTTGGCCTGATAGAGGCACGTTTCACAAACGGATTAAAGGGGCCGGTTCACACAGCCACAGCTGTCAGGCATTCCCCAGCTGTACTCAACCCGTCCTATGACAATTCCCTATCACGATAAAAAAGTACAAGGTGAAAGCCATAGCAAAACCTTGGAGGGCGCATCGATCCCGCTTCCCGGAAGTGTGTACACTAAAAGCTGCAAACAAGCTGCATTGCTGCACCTACGCGCCTAGGCGCATGTCGCCAGAGTGAAAAAAAAAGCCACTTACAGCCGCGCCTCTGCCAGGGGTGGGCCAACAGTGCAAACGCTTCCTTGCGCCTCCTCCCCAGTATGCTCCTGCATCAGTAGGTGCAGTGCGACCGGGAATCCCCGGCACAACTTGGTCTGGGTCTTTTTGCCCTGCCTCCCTTGCGCTTCCTCAGCCTCTGTGTTTCACCTTTCAGTGCAGTCTGTTACAGTGTGCCAGTACAGAAAGGAGGAACAATAGAAAGACAATCTCAAAGAAAGAGCAGCATGCCAACTTGTTCAACAAAAGAGTACAAGGCAGTGGGGCAGTTAGGTCATTTTAGATCCTAGGCTGGAGGGACTTATGAGGGGCCCCCGTCAGCTAATCTCCCTTATATATAAAAGCCGAATGGTGGTGGCACTTCTCTAGAACATTCCACATGCTCGGGAATTGGTTGGCGCCCTGGTGTGTCACTCAGAATCTGTCCCTATCCACTGGCTGCATTGCTTGAGTCTCGCCTCCAACATTCTAAACAGTTTGCTGTTCCTCTCCCCCCCATAGCCAGTCAGAACACAGAGGTTATTTGCATATGCAGCCTCATTGGCCTTTGCCTCGGAACACAGAGGTCGTTTGCATATACGACTTGATTGGCTTTTGCCTCTAACATTCCAAACGGTTTGCTGTTCTGAAGTAAAATGTGTCCAATCTCCAGGTGAGGGCTGGAGATCACTCAGAATTACAACTGCTTTCCAGATGGCAGAGATCAGTTCCCCTGGAGAAAATGGTGGGCTCCGTATCCTTATATGCTGCTGAGGTGGCCCCTGTATGACAGCCAATGTGACGTAGCAGTCAGGGCTTCAGAGTACGGGAGAGGCTACAGGGGGGTGGGGGTGGAAAGCTGAAGAGTGAGGGGGAAATAAAGGTAGGCTGATGATTGGCTGTGAAGGAGATAGGGTTGCCAACTCCAGGTGGGAAATTCCTGGAGATGTGAGGGATGGAGCCTGGAGAGGGTGGGGTTTCAGGAGGCGTGGGACCTCGGACAGGTACAAAGCCATGGACTCCACCCTCCAAACCAACCATTCCCTTCTGGGGAACCATCGTTGCCAATCTCCAGGTGAGGGCTGGAGATCACTCAAAATTACAACTGTTCTTTAGGTAGCAGAGATCAGTTCCTCTGGAGAAAATGGTGGACTCAGTGTCATTATACCCTGCTGAGGTTGCCACAGCAAATTGACACTCAGTGTCCAAGGCCGGAGCACCCGCCCAGAGCCTCTTTCTAGAGGCCGTTGTATTTATTTCCACAACTGGCCTTTTTCCTAGTAAAGTATACTTTAGACATGAAGATACAGTGCCCCACCCCTCAAATGAGATCCCAGCTGAAGTCCTGGACTTCTGCTCCACAGTCCAGCCCTGATGGCATCACTGATGTGGCGATCAGGTAGAATATTGCCCTTCTCCACCCAAACCACAGGTATATGCATGGTGCCGCTGCTAACAGAGGCACAAAATGTATAATACACAGGCAAGTACTGCTGTAAACCAAGTTATCTTTCCTTGTAAAGTGCCTTTATCCCTGGTTACCCATGATGTGATCACATCCAGTGTAGATTATAATATATTCTAGCCGGGATTACCTTTGAAGGAGGTCTGGAAACTTCAGATGGTTCAAAATACCACAATTAGATTATTAACTGATAGAGGTTATAGAGAATACACTTTCCTAGCATTAAAAGAACTTCATTGGTTATGGATTTGGTTTCCAAGCACAGTTCAAAGTGCTGGTTCTTATCTTTAAAGTTTGGGTCCAGAAACCAAAAATTACCTCCAGGATGCTCTTTCTCCTATAAAGCAGTTGAAATATCTGGGAATGGAAATGCTATCGTCTCAGCACAGTCTGCAAAACAAATATTTTTAAAGTTACTTTTTCTCATTTGATTGCCAAAACATGTAGAAACTAAATGTAACTGAGGCCTAATGAATAATATTTAAGAAAAGATTGTTTTTCATTAATAAAGAATAAACTTCCCATTAATTTTATGCACCTACATCTATCTCTTCTTGCAGTCCGTAATAGCAATACGTTTTGGTCTTTGCAAAAAGATGCCAAGTTTTTTGACTACATGGACTGTGGTTCCTCTTTGCTTTTATTCTGCAACATTTTTGCTCCATTAAATTATCATTCTCCCTAATTCAACTCTGTCTGAGATTTTCATGTATTTGTTGTGTCATCCATCATACAGTACTCATTTCCTACAGAAAATCCACCCAGTAGGTGCACTGGTTTCTTCAGTTACTGTTATTGTCCTTCTAGTAAGAGATTTTCCTCCAATAAGGAAGTAAACAAATCAATAAATGGGGGATGCTGAAAGAAAGAGAATTCTTAGTATAAACAGGCATATTGCCAGCCATTTCAGTAAATGACCAAAGCAAATATACTCCAACTATTTATTACAACTTGTGCAATTAAGACTCGACACAAAAGATGCACTGTCAGCCTGAAAACTTTCAAACGTCTTAAACTACTACGACTACAGCCTGCATATGCTGTTGCATGAGCCTCTGTGTTAATATAATGCATTTTTGTTGCTGTTGTTATGTCGCACAGTCGAGTCCGACTCTTTGCGACCCCATGAACCAAGATCACGCCAGGCCCTCCTGTCTTCTGTCGTGCTCCGGAGTTTAACATCTATATGCGCCCCCTTGCCCAGATTGCCCGGAGTTATGGGCTTGGGTGTCATCAATATGCAGATGACACCCAGCTCTATCTGATGCTGGGTGGCCGGTCGGACTCGAGTCCCGATGACCTTCATCGGGCATTAGAAGCTGTGGCTGGTTGGCTCCGGCTGAGCCGATTGAAACTAAACCCGGCGAAGACGGAGGTCCTGGGCCTGAGTCGGGCCGGGGCGGGGTTAGGGCTTCCTCTCCCGAGCTTCGACGGGGTGCCTTTGGTGCCGGCGTCTGGGGTTCGGAGTTTCGGGGTGCTCCTGGACTTCACATTAACAATGGAGGCCCAGGTGGCAACCACTGTCAAGTCCGCCTTCCATCTGCGGCGGGCACGGCAGTTGGTCCCCTACCCTGATGGGTCTCTCTAGAAGGGACCACATTCAGCCTGTGCTGAAAGCGCTGCACTGGTTGCCGATAGCGTACCGGATTTGCTTCAAAGTGCTGGTTCTTACCTATAAAGCCCTATATGGCCAGGGTCCAGCCTGAGGGACCGCCTTTCCCCATATGTTCCCCCAAGAGCACTACGGTCGGGGGCCCAAAATCTGTTAGTCATCCCGGGCCCCAAGGACACCAAACTAGCTGCAATTAGGGCCAGGGCTTTTTCGGTGGCGGCTCCTACCTGGTGGAATGAGCTCCCGCGGGAGATCCGGGCCCTGCGGGACCTTATGCAGT